TTAATAACAAAAACCGCGCTCATGATTTTAAAGATTTTATTGGGAATTATATGTGCAATTCATGTGAACGGACTATTTATTCAGGCCGAAAACCTGAAATTCTTGGTGAATTATCGGTGAATAAATGTCCTGAAGTCAACAAGCCTGAGAAGTCAAATGATGTTATCGAAGATGACGAAGAAAAAGATCCTACTTTTCATTGCAAACCGGTAGATAACAAATTAAAAGTTGATAAGGTTAATAAATTTTTAACGGAAATTGGTGAACCTTCAATCAAAATCAAGAGAGTCTCAAGTAATAAAGAGTGTCAAAACATTTTAACAAATGTTGTGAGTAAATTTACGGATAATATTAACAATGTAAATAAAGAAATTGATCCAAAAGAGCTTTTACTTAATAACTTTAAATCTGCTTTCAATGGTAAAACTAGTAGAGCTGATAAAATTCAGGTTTTAACAGATTGGTCGATTAAAATGATAAGGAAAGAGTTTAAAGTTTCCAAACGAATGGTGAGAACTGCAAAAAAAATACGACAAGAACGAGGATTCGCATCGCAACAAATGGGAAGAAAATCCAAAAACAATTACGACTATTATTATATAATGTTCACGAAATACACAAAAAATTTAAAGAAGCTTATCCTGACGAAAAGATTGGACTATCCAAATTTCAAAAACTCCGACCGCGGAAATGTATATCTGCTGGCAAAAGTGGAACTCATAATGTGTGTGTGTGTAAAATCCATCAAAATTTCAAATTGAAATTAGCTGGATTTAAAAATGAATAAAAAAAAGAGGGGACAATTATTTCAGAAAGCTCAAATGATTTAATTAAAAGTGTCCAGGAAGTGATAGTATTATAAACAAATTAACTTTGGTTTTTGCTCTCAAGAAGATCATGACTCCCATGAGAAGATGTTTAAATTACGTTATGACCGATGTGTAACCATAAAAAATACCCGCCAATATCATCATTACAGAGCTCTTAATAATATTCAGGACCCGACAAAGGCAAGGTATGCGGAGAGACGACGCGCCGCATACCTATTGAGGTTAGTGGAGTTGCAGCCGCCAACCAAGGAGGAGCTGACCAAGGAGCTCTTAGCATCAATTGAATGCGCGAGGGCGGTCATACCTAATTTTAAACTGGAACCTCCAGTAAAGGCAGCAAAGCGACAGAGGTGAGCTGAAGAGGCTAAGCCGTCAGCCAAACGACCGAAAACAAAGGGCGTGACGCCCGCAAAATCATTTGCAGAAGTGGCCCGGGACCGAATTGTCATTGGCGTTCTGGATGAGGGGGACCCCGAAGAAAGAATCCCCAGAGCCCAATGGAAATGGGTGCAGGCTGCGCTGACAAATGTGGCGCTGGAAGTGCTACTTAGCAATCCAGGTCCGCCACCGTCATGCACAGATCAAGAGAGATTTATCAGCTCTACTAGTTTTACCATTGAAAGCAGATTTAAAGTTATTAAGTAAAAGCTCTTTTGATCAATTTCTTTATTTACATTGTTAATATTATCCGTAAATTTACTCACAACATTTGTTAAAATGTTTTGACACTCTTTATTACTTGAGACTCTCTTGATTTTGATTGAAGGTTCACCAATTTCCGTTAAAAATTTATTAACCTTATCAACTTTTAATTTGTTATCTACCGGTTTGCAATGAAAAGTAGGATCTTTTTCTTCGTCATCTTCGATAACATCATTTGACTTCTCAGGCTTGTTGACTTCAGGACATTTATTCACCGATAATTCACCAAGAATTTCAGGTTTTCGGCCTGAATAAATAGTCCGTTCACATGAATTGCACATATAATTCCCAATAAAATCTTTAAAATCATGAGCGCGGTTTTTGTTATTAAAACTAAGTTTTTAATGACTTTTTTATGATTTTTTTTGTTAAATGGGTTGCAGCATTTCTTAACGAGGCTCATGATTAATTATCAACGAAATTATGAATGGCTCGAGATATTCCTTTGTTGTTCACATAGTTGTAGATACTGGGACATAAAATATTAAGATGCTTTCATATTTATTTCTTTTAGCCGCAAAGGATTTAGTTCGAATATCATTTTATTTAAAACAAGTATTGTAATGTTAATTGGATGTTTTATAATGAATAGAAAAAAATATGGGGTAAAAAAATTATAGATTTTTAATACTTAAAGAATAGGACATTCCAGTTAAAATTTGCCTTGAAATATTATGGTATTCAATACATTCTGGTGGATTAGGGAATTCCGTCTTAAGTATTTCTTTGAAACTATTAAGCGGGTAGGTATTATGCATATTGTTCTACACACATTCATGCTAATTCACTGCAAGCAAAATGTGAGACCATCATCCCAACATACAAATGAAATATGCAACACACTCTAAGTGTTGCGTTGCCAAACCGCTATACCTGCAGCGCTATACCGGCAGCGCTGACGCCCTCATAAAATTTTTTTGCTTAATCTAGTCGCGATCAGTAAAATTTTTGCGATTTCTTTACTTTAATGTTTATAGCAAAATATTAA